AACTGTTGTGCAACTGTTGAGTTCGCTGAACGCACTCATTGCTTGCCGCGCGGCGGAAATTCGCGTGACAACCAATCAATATGCTGCATTCCGTAATAACCTAGCTCTTACGGAAAAACAACATATTGATTGGCTGTCGCGGATTTCCGCCGCGCGGCAGGCATTACCGCGTCCTGTGTGCAGAAGCCATAAAAATGTTCTTTGAGCATCTCCTGTTATCTGGGTAGCGATCATGAATCTTTCACGTAAACTTCATTTTCATTTTTCATTTTCCACTAAGTGAAATTTATTTCACTTAGTGAAAAAATTTATTTCACATGAAAAGTGAACAATGAAAATGTGGAAAGCAATATTTATGTAATATAGATTATTAAAATTAAAATGTAATTACAGTATACATAATGTAATATATAACACATTAATAAGCATTATACAACTTAAATTTATAGTTATAATATAATATAATAATACAATATGAGTAAATTTAATAAATGAGACGTTAACCGTGAAAGGTGAATTCTCAAAACGTGAAATATTTCATGTGAACTTTTAGTTTGCTATATGTTCTTCTTTACATGTAAATTGTGTAAGTTTCCACGAATATTTTTAAGCATCAAGCGATGTGGTTTAAATGTGAAAAATAATGTAATACTACACTCGCATATTATGTACAAAGTGAGTAAAATTTCTTATAGTGACTTTAATTTTTATGGTTATACGACAATTGGCATTTGACATAAGAATCCTACGTCCATTAAAAATGACCAACAAAAGCCAATTAAAGCGTGATGACGTACAGGCACTGAAAGCATACCGACGAAGTTAAGATACGTATGCATCAGAAAGTTAAAGTGTAATATATTATAAATTGTATGCAGTAAGTAAAATGTAAGTTTATTTTATGTATTTATTGCATGTATTTTATGTATTATTTTATATAAAATATATATTTTCTGCAGATTTATAATTTTAATATGAATAGAATATTTTATCTTTAATAATTTATCCTAAAGTAATCCTAGACAAGCAGACTTCCAAGAAACGTTCTAAAAACATCACTACCCTAACAGCACAGGGACGTTCTGAGTACGTTCTGAGTAGATCGCAATGCGTATATTGCGATCATCTCAGAATGTTCTCATATGTACTGCGATCGAATGAGTACGTTCTGAATAAATACACGCGCGATACAAATGCGTACGTATCATTTCAGTCAAACTTGAGAATGTACGCACGCGATAGAAAAGCGTACGTATCATTTCCGTATCCATAAGTGAAATCTGAGAACATTCGCACGTGAAAGAAAACCGAATGATACTATAAGTGATGTTCTAGCGTTCAACTTAGTACGTCACAGATGATCACAGTACAATGAGTACGAAAATGGGATGATACGCAGTACGTCGCGTGTTGTTAGGATATGTCTTAAAAACATGCTGAAAAAATTCTAAAGATGTCCATTGCAAATTGGTGTTGTCTTGAGTATATTGTAATATTTGTTTTACTTACAAATTCATGTTAAATCTTTCATTTTTCATGAGTTTAGTGAAGGTTTTCATATTTTACGAGTTTATTACAAAATTTTTACTTTTCACGAGTTCACACTAGGGGAAAAGATTCATGATTGCTACCCTGTTTTGTGTTTGTGAAAATAATATTAAATTAAGTAAAAAATATTGCGATATACCCTAACAGCACGGGGACGTTCTGAGGACGTTTTGAGTAGATCGCAATGCGTATATTGCGATCATCTCAGAATGTTCTCATATGTACTGCGATCGAATGAGTACGTTCTGAATAAATACACGCGCGATACAAATGCGTACGTATCATTTCAGTCAAACTTGAGAATGTACGCACGCGATAGAAAAGCGTACGTATCATTTCCGTATCCATAAGTGAAATCTGAGAACATTCGCACGTGAAAGAAAACCGAATGATACTATAAGTGATGTTCTAGCGTTCAACTTAGTACGTCACAGATGATCACAGTACAATGAGTACGAAAATGGGATGATACGCAGTACGTCGCGTGTTGTTAGGATATGTCTTAAAAACATGCTGAAAAAATTCTAAAGATGTCCATTGCAAATTGGTGTTGTCTTGAGTATATTGTAATATTTGTTTTACTTACAAATTCATGTTAAATCTTTCATTTTTCATGAGTTTAGTGAAGGTTTTCATATTTTACGAGTTTATTACAAAATTTTTACTTTTCACGAGTTCACACTAGGGGAAAAGATTCATGATTGCTACCCTGTTTTGTGTTTGTGAAAATAATATTAAATTAAGTAAAAAATATTGCGATATACCCTAACAGCACGGGGACGTTCTGAGGACGTTTTGAGTAGATCGCAATGCGTATATTGCGATCATCTCAGAATGTTCTCATATGTACTGCGATCGACTGAGTACGTTCTGAGTAAATACGCGCGCGATACAAATGCGTACGTATCATTTCAGTCAAACCTGAGAATGTACGCACGCGATAGAACAGCGTACATATCATTTCCGTATCCCTGAGTGAAATCTGAGAACATTCGCGCGCGAAAGAAAACCGAATAATATTATAAGTGACGTTCTAGCGTTCAACTTAGTACGTCACAGATGATCACAGTACAATGAGCACGAAAATGGGATGATACGCAGTACGTCGCGTGCTGTTAGGGTATGAATGAAATGTGTGTATGACTTATTCGTCATTCTTGTTGAATTTGCTTTTGCAAAAGTCGTATTTAATTATCATATAATTCCGCATAAATTAACAGATATATTCATTGAATATTAATTCTATTGCAGAAGCAACGAACTTATAGAACCGCAGTCGTCCATTCTTGCGAAGATTGCATTCGTCCATTTTATACGTCTCTCGCTGTCTCTCGCTGTCTCCCTTGTCTCTCCCTGTCCCTCCCTATCTCTCCCTGTCTCTCCCTGTGTCTCCTTATTTCTTCCTGTCTCTCCCTGTCTTTCTCTGTTACTCAATATTACAATTTAAATACTAAGTATTACAACTTCAATACTTAGTATTAAGTCTCAATAGTATTTTTCCGTAAGGACTTAATATCCGGCATATCATTCATTAACACGTTCAGTGTCATGGCGTTTCCAAAAACTTTCTGATAATATTATATTCGTTAACTTCCCCACAAAAACATACGTCGAATTCACGTCGAATCCACGTAGAATTCACGTGGAATCCACGAAATCACGTGGATTCCACGTGGGTGTAATGTGTATGTTTTTGTGGGGTTGTTTCATCGATTATATATTTAATATATGCGGTTGGCTACGTTTTATATACAAGTTAATGAGATGCGGAAAAACTATAGCACTGGCTATTAGTGATTATCATGGCAGTCAATATATTAAGTTAATTAAGTTTTCCTATTAGATGCGTTAATTTAAGTGTATATATATATATATATATATATATATATATATATATATATATATACTACATGGGCTGAAAAGTCCCGGGATTTTTCAGTAGGTGGTGCCACTAGAAAATGAACATGATTTATTTCGAGAGGTTCATTTGTCACTAGTTTATGTGTGAAGTTTCATAACATTTCGTTCATTCGTTTACAAGCTACAGTCGTTAAGTGTCGCTACCTTCGCCTTCGTAAAAAAAATGGAAAAACAGGAATATCGCATATTGATCAAACATTGTTTTTTGATGGGAAAAACTCCTGATCAATCAATGAAATGGTTGAAGAAATGTTATCCCACATCTGCTTCTTCGAGAACAACAGTTTATCGATGGTTTAGTGAATTTAAAATGGGTCGTACCAGCACCGAAGACGCACCTCGCTCTGGAAGACCAAAAGAAGCTACGAATGCGGAAATCGTAAAGCAAGTGCATCGAATCATTTTGAGTGATCGTAAAGTGAAGTTGTACGAGTTAGCTGAGACTGTTGGCATCTCAAAAGAACGGGTGGGATACATTTTGCACGATGTTTTGGATATGAAAAAGCTATCTGCGTGATGGGTGCCGCGTTTGCTAACCGTCGACCAAAAACAGCAGCGCGTTGATGATTCAACGGCCGGTTTGGCGTTGTTGCAGCGTAATCGAACGGACTTTTTTCGACGTTTTGTGACGATGGATGAAACGTGGATCCATTACCATACGCCTGAGTCCAATAGGCAGTCTGCAGAGTGGCTGAAAAGCCACGAAAGCCAACCAAAGCGGCCAAAAGACCAACGCTTGGCCGGGAAGGTTTTGGCCTCCGTTTTTTGGGATGCGCATGGCATAATCTTCATCGATTACCTGCAGAAGGGAAGAACAGTTACGGGAGAGTATTATGCAGCGTTATTGGACAAACTGAACGACGGAATAAAGAAAAAACGGCCCCATATGGCGAAGAAAAAAGTTTTGTACCATCACAATAACGCACCGTCACACACGTCCTTGAAAGCGATGGCCAAATTGGACCAATTACGATTCGAATTGGTTACTCACCCACCGTATTCTCCAGACTTGGCCCCCAGCGATTATTATCTGTTCCCAAACCTCAAGCGGTGGCTCCAGGGAAAGAGATTCACATCGAATGAGGAAGTCATCGCGGAAACCGAGGCGTATTTCGAAGGCTTGGACGTTTCGTACTACAGAAAGGGCATCAAAATGTTGGAAAATCGCTATACCAAGTGTATCGCACTCGAAGGCAACTATGTTGAGGAATAAATATAACTTTGCCCAAAAAACGCTTGTTTTCATTAAAAATCCCAGGACTTTTCAGCCCATGTAGTATATATATGTTTTTAGATATTATATATATAATATACATATATATAATATATATATTCTCTGAAAGCATTGTTCAAGCTATTCACCACGGACATTTTACTAAGATTTTTGGATATGAGAACTATGATAGGACGCAAGGTAACCGCACGAGATTTGTGTATGTGCGGAATATAAACTTAAAACCCTTAAAAACTTAAAACGAAATAAATAAAATTTTTTTAAGAGGCATTTAACTTTATACATTGTATACCTGTGTTTAAATATTCAGGCAAAATCACATATTAAAGTAAGTAATTAAAATTCAAAATTACCCAAAAGATCCTTTTCCCCTGAATTAATAAATCCTTGCTCCAATTTCAGATTATTTATGAGCGACTCTATGCTAAGAGAATTCGAGAAATCGGACTTTATATTAGGCCTGTTCTTTGTAGCTGCACTGCTAAACCAGTGCAAAAAGTTAAAGTGAAGAAACGTATATTTGTCTCACTTTAATTTATCGCACTAGTTCAGCAACGCAGCTACAAAAAAAACAGGCCTATTATTATATATTGAATGCGAGCGTGGCATGGCATATGCACTAGTCTGCTATGCTATAGAGGTCTCGTGTTCGATCCCAGGCGGAACTAAAGATTTTCATGCGCTCGTAGTTCCTCTTCGGAGGCCCGGCAAGCTCCTAAGAATATCTCTTTACCAAAAAAATCTCTCAAAAATTTGTTGTTCGGAATCGACATTGTAAGTCCCGTATGCCGGTGATAGTCTGCGTGCGCACCACAGGTATACGTAAATACAAGGTAGACCTTAGCTCGACTTGAGCTGTAGCCCCATCGAAGAAAAAGATTATTATATATTATAGAACTGTATATTACAGTAAATTGTTGCAGAGTGAACAATCATATATGGAGAAATGGGATTCACCAGTAGCATAACAACTATGCAGTATAAGAGGCAATCGTTGCAATATATAAAATTCGCACTTTATAATTTTGACTTGTCATTTTTTTACATATGTTCAATTAATACATATATCAATATATAGATTGCCTTACAACTCCAATTTCAAACAAATGAAATACTTCCTTGTAATTTTCAAGTTAATAACTATGTTAAGGCTGATTTCTCATTTCGATAACGTTAGGAACAAAGGTATAAATATATTCAATATTTTTGTAAAGGAAAAGAGTTTTCAGATTATTTTAAAAATTTACTCAATTGAGCAGATTTTAGGAACAAAAAGGTATACATATATTCAATATTTTTGTAAAGGAAAAGAGTTTTCGGATTATTTAAAAAATCTGCTCAATTGATCACATATGTTATTTTACATTATTATAATTGAGTGCGAGCGTAGTACGGCGGATTATACACTAGTCTACCACGCTAGTAGAGGGCCAGGTTCGATTCCCAGAGAAAAGGAAAAATTTTCGTACGCTCGCACTCCCTTCGGTAGGCTTGAAAATCTCCGAGAGTATAGGATAAGAAATCCAAAAAGGAAAGAATTTGCCAGTATAGGTTAAGATATACATAGGATAAAGGAGATATATAAGGCAAAGAAGAAAAAGGAGTAGGTTAAAGATATAAATAGGTTAAGATGTGATAAAAATCTTAAAGAGAAAAATGTAAAGAAATATAATATCTGTCGTGTCTAACATATCTTCTCTATCCTCTCTATCGATCAATATTCTCCTAATTGTCCAAAAATGAATATCGCGGCACAATGTAATATATTCAAAATAGAGAATTAGGCTGTTAAATAAAATAAGAATTAAAATGAAGCGACAACCTAATTCTCTTTTTCTGTTCTTGGGAAATATGATTAGGCCATGCATCATTCATCTATATTTGATCTTACTATGTTACAACCACGGATGCCACGACGGGTCCATTCTACAAAGATTGTCATGGCTGTTTGCAGCGGTGACCAATGTACTGACTTTACTATCAATGCCATCGAAATGTGCTAATGAATTCAATCGCGAGATGATCGCGGTGACCGCGTGGGTCACCATCTTTATCAGAAGCTCGCCCTTTAAATCAGTCGGTGTTTGTGACATGCTTTCAGTATCTTCTTGTCTCTTGTGCTCTGCGATTACTTCATCACGTAAAATTGCTCGCAGTATGGCGTGTAGCTGGTATGAAGGCTGTACTAAGCAGCGAGCTGTGGCAATTGCACTAGCAGTCAAAGGGCCGGCCACTCCTATGAACGATTAATTTCATATAAAGAAAATTTAAAATTTTTTAAAATATTGTGATAGTTATGAAGTTTATAATTGATAAATAACATATAAATATAAGATTTCGCAGTATCTATAAAACACTACCACACACACACAGAACAGATATAAATATTAAAAAATGTATTTTAATATAAAGTATGAGAAGTATTTTAAATATTTTTTTAATATATTGCAAACTCGGATGCACAAAGAATGGGTAATTAAACAACTTGTTCTACTAACCTGTAGTTGTAATAAATTCGTATATGTTGGGTGTCAGACGGAAAGGTACTGGTCTATTTGCATCCAACTCTCCGGAAATATCGTCGATATCGAATTTAAAGTAAGCAATATTGATCAGACCAGAGTCTTGATGCATGTACATCATGTCAGGATTGAGCCTTGTCAAGTGAAGTACATACTCGGCGAAACAAGTTAGTGATAACTGTAGAGTAAACTGAGAACAGAAAGAGAAACAAGATGAAGATGTATGAAATAATTATAATTATGTAAGATACAAGAATTAAACGAATCGACAAAATTTCTGTCAACAAATAAGGGTTTTCAACGAATAAGGTTCAATCATATATAATAGGTATTGATGTTAATATGAGAAATATCAAAGAGAGAAATACCAAAAATATCAAAGAAAATTTAACAACTTTTCATATCTTTTGTGTGCTAATAATAAAATTTTCCCACTTTAACTCTTAATACTTCAACTTTCACTTAATTATATATTTTGATTATTATTATATATCATTATGATATATTTTATTATATATCATTAATATATATATATATATATATATATATATATATATATCATTATTATATTATATATATATATATATATATATATCATTATTATATATCATTATGATATCGTGTATTTTTATAAGAACTAAGCAATTTTGACTTTGTGTTGTTAGATATTTGCGCGGTTACTGCGACGTTTATCTTAATACTTCTACTTTTATTGGCCTACCTTATTCGTTGATTTATATTTTGCGGTCTCTATCATTATTTAATAAAATCTATTTAATAAAATCTATCATTATTTAATAAATCATTGATGTTTAGAGCTATTGATAAAAGATACAATTCTAAAGATTATCAATAAAAAAAATAAAGAGAAATTATACTTACCATTTTTCTAAACGTCCAATAGTCAGTAGCGCCAGGGAAGGTTTTTATTGCCCAATCTTTAAGCATAGTTTTGGAGACCATCGTGGTTTGCACTTCCTTCAGAATGTCTCGCAATACTTGATGGCTCGCTTGGATTCCACGAGCTTGCACCGCGGCCAGCTTTTCGTAATATCTAGCGATCGGTGCGTCGTGTTCCATGCCTAATTTGGCGCAACCCTGTTTAAACACGTCCAACAGTGAAACGGCTGCTGGATTATCTTCCACGAGCCTCATCTGAGGAGATACGGCTACCAGCCGAGGTACTGTGAAATGTAAAAATCTGCGTGAGGTTTCCTTCTGCTTGGCCAAGTAGTGATTCAGCATTCGCAGTAGTTGTAACACGCGTTCCTCGCGCCTCGCATCTCCAACGCTAGCATCATTCACTACTAGGTAAGGATATAAGCGTCCGTTGTGACCGCGAATGCGTAGTCTTCTAGCAGCGGTGTTATGCCGCTGAACGACTTCAACACGTGGCATAAATCGTGCTATTTTCACTGAATAATGTGAATGCTGAAAGGAATAAGTTTAAAAAGAGATTAGTATAGATGAACGCGTCTTTTCCGTCTAATCTCGAGAATAATTATTGTTCAAAATATATAAGTAGATATACAGGATGTCTCAGATCTCCATGATGACCCTTTGTGAGAACGTAGAACGGGTTGAGGTGAGCAAGAAAGTCCTGTGCCGTTTTGCGATATTCGCAATAATAGTCGAGATATTAATTAAAAAAGATTGGTGAATAATTACGCGCGATATGGTAAATGAGCTGCAGTGGCGCCGTCTGCCGTTGTATACTTATACATTAAATCAAACTGAACAAAAAAAGTCCTCTACCATTTTGCAAATTGTAACACACCAACTCCATAGGGGCGTAGAGCTAAGCGAGAGGATCAGAAAAGTCCTCTTCCATTTAGCGATAACGCGTCTAGTTTGTTAGTAACAACCACATAAAGTTTGGCGTTTGTCACGCCCATCGCGGCCTATAGACGCTCTGCGGCGAGCTGTGTGCGTCGAGGCTGAGCGGTAACGCGGCGCGTTCATCGTCCCCTCGCCGCGCGTCGACAACAATGAGGAAAACGCGTTGCCAGGAGGCAGGCCCGGCTAGCCGTCATGCCGATGCTACAGCGCGTACAGCGTTCGTCTCACCGCAGCACACGTGCTGATTGGCACGTAGACTGCCGCTCGATAGAAATCTTTTATCGTTAATATCTCAAAATTTTACATGGTTGTTTAAAAAAAGACACTGATTCTATTACTCACCCCAACCTATTCTAGGTATGTTAGCTCTGGTACGGTACGAGTCAAACATCCTGTATAGTTGCAATATAGAGTATTTTATATATAATATAAACTTATATATATAAACTTTTAATCAAAGCATTACTATATACAAACTCAAAATCAGTAAACACCGTATATTTTGATTCTATTCTTCCGGCTCTTCTTCAGCGATACAAATTAATTAACATTAAACATAATATTTAAAAAATAAAACACACGCACACAAACATAGTCAAAAACGGTAAATCAAATGTGCAGAGAAAACGGAAAGAGAGAAACGCAAAAGAAACTTAATCGATAGTTGAACACTGTAGGTCATTACTTTTGTTTTAAACATAAATGAACCGAATGGAAGCAATGCAACTGTCACTGTTAAAGAACAAAACGTTCTAACAACTGTTAATGTTTCACTTTATAAATGTTAGATTTATATTGTATCAATATATTTGTACATTTAGCTCTTACTCGCCTTTTATATTTGAATTTCTGAGTTTTCTAACATTTTATGTGAATATTACTTTATTACTTACGCGAATATTATTTTATTACTTACTCGAGGTATCAAGAATTCACCAGGTAATTCCACTTCAGCAGTCTTGAGACTGAAATTACTTAAGAAGCGACATTTCTCTTCTATTAGGAAAGACCTGCGGAATAATGCGTGAAACTTTGGTCCATGAAATACTTCTGATACTATGTATCGTCATAGAATAAGCAAAGAAATAAGCATTACCTAGGTAATTGTTTAGTTTTCTCTTCAAGAATTTTTATCCATTTCTTTAGTTTGTTGATCAAATTATGAAGTAATCTGGCCCCGGGAACGGTAAAGTCAAAATCACTTGTGAATTGTCCCTTCATTCTGTGGAAAACGGGATCTTGCACAGTGTCTTGCGCTCTACGTGCTAAGGATTCCGAAGCCGCTGAATAGAATGATGTATTTTGCGAAGACGATATATTCTCTAAAAGTCATAAAACGCAATTTCTGTAGTCAGTCTTCTTTTATTTGATTTTCGCGTTACTGTGAACGTTCAGCCTAACATCAAGATCTTTTTATTGGACTCAACTTTAGTTTTTAAATTTCTTCATTAAGCAGTTCTAATTATTTGTAAAAATTTATATTTTGTGATTGTAAGAATTTTTATTCTTTTTTCGAAATATTTTAAAGAACACAGAAAATTTATTTACTTTTCTTTAAAAAAAAGTACATTAATTATTGGTATAATGAGAATTAATATATTATATATATTATATATAGGTCATAATGACTTTACCAATTCCTATGCCAAAAGTCGACACCAATTTTTTGACGAAGTTCAAAGTGTGCGGAGTAATAGTAGCTTCACTGACTGCGCCACGGTTTTCAAATGCTAATGCATAACATTTAGCTAGTCCTTGAGTCAATTGTCTTAACACCTCTTCATACCATGTTTCGCGAAACCAAACCATCTGAAATACGAATTCCAATTATGTTATCTTTGAAAAAAAATATCATTTTAATTTGGAAGAAAAGAATACGATACATATCGATAATTATAATTAATTATCGAAATATTGAGAATTGATCGAGAATAAAATGGCTGGGAGAAATGGAGCACTCATATTACACTGAGAGATCCATTGTGTAAGATAATTCTAAAATGTCTAAACAAACTTCAAGAACAAAGCTTTACATAGAAAATACAGTATGATTAGTCCACACATAAATCCGATTATTCCACTCAGATTCAATACTAAAATATAGAACAACTAATTATGTAGTTGCTGCAACCACAGAGTAATTACTGAGTTACTGGCGTTGCAACAGTGATAATATCAACTAAAGTTATCCATAGTAAATATTACTTCAATCGATTTCTGGTTGCTACAATTAGACCACACGCAACTACATTGATGTAGTTGATGTAGCAAATTGAATTATATGAACACATTACATCACACATAGATAAGTAGGATAATGCAACTATGCTGCTCACAACTAAATATTTCTGGTCATGTGTAATATCTTTTTTCCGCGTACATAAATTAAATATCATATTTAATCAAAAATTGTGAAATGTTGTAGATATACAAATATAAGTAGAAAAGTACAATTCAAACTTACCTGATCTACTATACCTTCCAGTGAACTTAATACAGTAGGGTGGATATCTCTCTGCATATGCATAATTTTGGAGCATCTCCACATGGGTGCCGTGGCTCGTACGGTATGGCCTGATGTTTCTGACACTCCTTGCTGTGACACATTGCCAGTCGCACGATCTTCTTGACTGCTTTCCTGGATTTTGCCCGCAGTCAACTCGCTGTTGTATCTCTCCCTCTGTTCTATCTTTAAAGTAAGATATAAAGTACGTATTGAAAAATACACTGCTTGTGGAAACATACGACCGACTTGGCTCAGCAAGGTCAATATGCTATTGCCTTCGTATCGCACGAGATACATGAGCAGCTGAGGCACCCAGGGTAACCATTGAATAGCCGGTACTCCTATTGAATACTTATCCAATGTCTCCATCAATGACGATTTGTCGTCATCATACGTGAGTAGCCAGATGACTTTGGCGATATACTTTCTCGACTTGGTTTCGTTTTGATGGCGAGCGGCGTGTAAGAAGCACGTGATCGCCGCTATGCCGATTGAGATTTGGCGCGCGTCACGCGCAAAGATCTGCTCGAGATAATCGCCCCACAGAGCCCATGCTTTCACCAGAGTATCGTGCAGCTGTACCGCTGCAGAGAAAGCTTTGTTCGCGTCGTCGGAACGACCAAGCTGTGACAGAAGTAAGCCCTTCAGCGCATAAAACTCAGCAGTCATCTCTTTCGAAAAATAACGCATGTCGGTGCATTCAATCACATCCAGTCCCTCTTGAAGTTCATTCTGACCGCTCATGGTAGCCATCTGCATGTAACACTTGACACGTTGTCGAACCTTTTGGAAGCAGTCGATCATGGGCACGCTCGGAATCGTGTAAATCTTTGACAGCGAATCCAAGCATACTCCATACAAGTTCTGTTTTCTGGCGATCTTGCCGTAATGTATGATGGATTGCATGGATGCATGAACACCAAGTACGGAATGGGACGGTGCTGAGTGTGAATCTGGCTGGGATTCATAATGATTCGCGATACGGTTATAATGTTGCTGCCGCCAAGCGAAGATATCCGACCAATGGCTTAAGTCATCCGCGATTACAGGTAAACGATTGCGCCATGTTTTTACTATCGCTTTCATGTCATGTAGAGACGAAGATCTGGTCAACATTAGCCCTTGATGAATCTGAGCTGCCTCTTGAAGTTCCATTATTTGTTGCGCTGCTTGCAGCAATGGCAAGTGAATGTGACTAACAATTTGAGGAAGTTTGCGCCATTCTCGCATACACAAAGTGGATGCAATCTCGACATAACGCTCTACCGCAGTCATATGTTGTTCCTCGTGACATATGGCTATGAAACCACGGTACATATTCACCTAAAAAAAAATATATAAGTAATGAATTAGAACACAAGATTCATTAACACACTCAAAAGAATGTTAAAATATATTTACAAAAAAATATATGTATGTATGCATGTATAAATAATACTTAGAGAATTAACAAGAAAAAACAATATATTTAAATCATAGAACGCAAATATCTGGCCAGATATACATGCTAAATTTTTAATTGTGAGAAGATCTTTTTTTAAATACACGCTAAAATATTTATTCTTAAAAGTATTTTTCTTGATTTTTTGAGATCTGGGCGTATCTTTAAGAATAACATCATATCTCTATATCTCTAAAAATAAAAATATTTTAATTCACCTATGTTGTTTAATTGAGCACTTTTGATACTATTTAGTGATAATTTCCTTATCTTGAGAAAATATTATATGTATAATCGTAAATCAATGAGTAATTTTTGTACTTTTTAAAATTTTTGTGCATTATTCTTTTTCTAATTAGTTCTATCCCCTTCTAACTATGAATGATTATAAAGAATATATTGTAAATGATCAATTGTAGCTTAATTCAGATAAAAAATTTGATTAAAAAAAATTCAGGAATGTCGTTAAATATAAGAAATGAGAGAAAACTCCATAATTTTGGACCAATTTTAATAATTATCTAATATCTCTCTATTAAAATAAATTTCCAAAATGAAAGATCAAACAAAATAAGATCAAATGAAACAAGAGATTTAAAAATAGGAGGATCACTATTACACATCACATCGTACCTTCCAAGCCATTTCCTTTGGACAATTATGCTCAACAAGTGCGAGCGCTTCCTTCATAACTGGCCAATTGGAGATACGCCAGGAACTCTCTAGGGCCACGAAAGGATCTCTGAAATCTTTCGTAGTGCTATATTCCAACAACATGTCCCATTGATTCAGTTCCTTCGCACAGCGCACCCACTGATTCCCTATCATTATCACTTCCTTTTGAATCTTATAAGGCGACGGGGTTGACACCCAATCCTGTTGGAACTTGGTCATGACTACATCGTAAGCTCCTTGAGCTTGCTCAAAGAATCCTTGTTGTTGCAGTGCGATGGCGTGTAGAGTCTCTTTATAGTATGCATGCTTCTGCCAGATACCAGACCACATATCCTCCTCGAGCAACAACGAGTACATGTCCGCAAGAGCGTCCATTATATCGTTAGGAATATCTTCCGGGGATTGTTCGAAGTCATAAAAGTCAAGTTCACGTTTAGTTCTCGCGTAGACACTATTATCGGATTCGGAAGCCATCTGTTCTAGGGTGAGTGTCATTCGATGCCATACGTTGTGCGATTTACCCAGATACTTCATCACGTATGGCTTTATAACAACTGGTGGATTACAATGCGACAACGCCTCGAGGAACGTACCAAGCGCACTCGGATGGCAATCCTTTTGATTGACGTGCGAACCACTGGCGACGAACGGCACTACCTCTCCAATTAAAACGGTTTGGTGATGCTCCTCCAGAATAGTCCACAATCGCGGAAACATGTCCAACCAAACACGTTCCGCTAGATTTGTGTCCATGTGACACAACTGTACAACTGCCAGTAGAAGTTGCTCCGTCTTGATCTTCTTCGCACGCTCGATAAAGGCACTCTGCTTGTTGATCATATCCGTCAGGTTGCTCTGCGCCATAATATCGTCCAAGGTGCTGGTAAATTCTGAGATGGACATATTTGATAGTTCCATCTCAAAGAAGTCTGTCTCTGGCGCGTCATTGGTCTCGGAAATCTCCTTCGGCTCTTCCTTTATGCTGCAATATGCCATGAAATCTTTGTGATCCTTGTTATCTTTATCCATGCCCATGTGAATGATTGACTTGACGCTAGGCAGCAAGAGATCCTGATTGGTCATTTGTATTTGCGTGTTTGGATTGGCGGACGATAGAATTAATTCAATACATTGTTTAATCCAATAATGAGGACCTATGTTCTCCCAGTTCTGAGTGCTGATGATATATAGAAGTCTTTCTTGTAGTTGCTTACTCATCGACGCATCCAATACCTCGAAAAATTTCGCTCTTACTTGTGGCTGGACGCAGCGTAAACCAGATAAAAAAGCTTGTTCTAATTTAGTATTTAGATCCGTCGACTTCAGACTTTCGTCGCGATAGATGTAGTTGATCAGCTCAAGAAACTGTCTGTTCAGCTCTAGGTCGTCAGGAAAGCGTTTCTCGACATACTGCATCATCTTACATAAAAGCACTGTCTTCTCACGCATTGTGGGCGTTTGATTCATTGCGATCGTATTCTTATTCTTCATCCATTCTTCCAACATTTTCGTGATGGCTTTCATTACCTTAATATCTTGCGTTTTTTCTATGAGTCCAGTCAGTATGGTTCCAATAAACGATTTGCGCATCTCGGCTCCCATCACTACAACTCGGTTTTTTACGAGATCCATGCTTAGAATAAGTAACTCGCTTCCAACCGCATTAGTTTCAGTCTGGGATGAGCTGTGCAAATGTTCTTTGGCCATTCTGTGCAGCACTCTCATAAAAGGCGTTATCATACGGTCAATGTAGCTTGGATTGTTCGTGCAGGCCGCTTTCAACATCATCAGTGTACCAAATAGTGAGCTGGGTGTAGCACTTGCGGACTTCTCGTAAGTGGCTAGACCGTCAGCTATGAATCTACCCACAGTCGCGTATAATGTATCTAATTCTTCATTTTTAGAGGATACGTTTACGTTCGAGGACGTTAGCTCTGCTGGAAAAATGGTCATCAGTCTCGACAATAAACCATGTACTAGGCGTATGATTTTAGTATTATTGCTAGCAATGCAGGCGCCTATGCCACGTTGCAATGGCTTGAAGCTCGCGAGTATCTGCTCGCGTTTCATTACTCCTAATAGAAACGTTAGCACATCTAGTGCAGTACTAATATTTCCATAATTTGGCTGAGAGTTGTCTACACTTGCCAGTACTTTATCCAACCAAGCTAATTTCAAATCACATGATTCCGTCCATATATCCGGCTTTAGACCCATTTTTAACAAATTAACACATCGTTTTGATAATAATTCACCAGGATTGCCGTGCATCGAAGACACGTCGTTCACCTGACACGCCAGACGCAGTAGAAAGTTCAGGATGGCATCCGAATGAATTCTATCAATTGCTTTCATTGATTCTGTTTTGGACGAGACGAGAGGCATACATATATTGCTAGATGTTGTCTGGCTAGTTAAACGTTTAGTATTTGGCGATTCGTCAGTTGACTGTCGCTTAATTCCGCTTGTGACTGATCTGTTGCTGCTGTTACTATCGGCAGCTTCACTTTCGTCCTTGATTCTATATAACTCCCATTTTATAATCACTTCTGCCAACTCGACAGCCAGTTTTCTGTGTTCAATTGTAGCAGTGGGGCTAAAGCCTAAACGCTGAATAGAATTCACTATATGTTGAACTAAATGATGTCTAACCGGATAATATACTTTGAAATGCCTCACAACCAATTGTAAAATATGGAAAAGCTGTTGCATTGAATGACCTTCTTCGACGATGATTTTTTTCGTCCAATGAGTTAACATTGTATTACCGTCTTCCATACGTACAGGCATCGCAGGGGTCAATATTTCAAGTGCTTGTCGAACCACATTGCGCGCATCTACGGCATGTGCTTTTAACAAACTATGAAATACTTGCAATACTATACGTTTATGAATAGCAAATTTAGCAATAATATGACTAAGAAGAAGATGACCATGATATCTTGTTGTCGGATCGACACAATTTTTCCCCAACAAGCATGGCCATGCAAACGTCATCAGCCGACGCAATTTGTTTCCTTGTCGTTTGTTGGTAACATCGTGAATATGCTGTGACGCTTGCTCTACAAGTAAACATGAAAACTGCAGTAGAGAAATACGCACGCAATCGGCTGAACCAAACGGGTTATCTGGGTCGATGATCTTGCTGATAAATACTGAAACCACATTCTCTGGGTTGTCCTGGTAAGGCATAGGAGCCCCACCGACCAATTTAGTACCTTCACCTCTCTCGAAACTTACTGCGAAGCATGGGATTATGATCAGTTGTAGCACATTGGCCTTCAGCTCCTGTGATAAGTTGTTAGTAGGAAAATGTTCGACGAAGCGAAAGAATGCGCTTCGCTTCCATTCTACAGTGTATTCCTGTGCTACTGTATTTTCCAGGAAATCCCTGAGAAACTGAAAGTCAGGTATGAACCGATCGCATGTAGCTCGTAGTAAGTAAAATAACAAGTCAATGTCGTTTGGTTGCTGGCGGAAATAATGCAATAGGATCTTGACGATTAGTTTTGGTTCCTTCCAGTGGTAATATTCTACGTTCTCAACCTTTTTATGCAACGCTTGATAATCGTTAGCACACCAGATCTGTTTCAGAGCACTCACTAGCTGAGTCTGCGTGGACAACCATTGCTCGTCGAATCGGATGAGCAGAGCGATTATTTTAATCGCCCGATATTGCAGCTCGCTCTTTTCCATATGGCTCAAGTTTGAGTTGGTTTGCGTGTTGGAGTGCGTGAGTAGCATCGCGACAAGCCTCGTTGAACTGTTATGCAAAATATCTCTGATCGGTTTACCATCTTTGTGTTTAATGAGATATTCTAAGTATCGGCTCCATTGTTGGTCTTTGATATTATTGTCATGGAGGAACAGACTGAGAGTATCAGCGGGATAACGTAACAGAAATTTCATCAAGGGCACTCTGAATGGACTAGACACCTCCACAAGTAAAGTCTTCTCTGTGTGTAACACAAGTCGACATAGCAGATCGATAAACTTTGGAGTAGCCGCCGGTATCTCATGAAATATTCCTATAATAGTGGTGATTTTCTGTTCGTTCTCGCCGGTTTTTAATATACCCTTTTGTGTTTGAATTAAGTTCTCCAAGAGCTTCTTTAAGTGTTGTAACAATTGTTCACAAAGGGTGATGCTAAAAGTACTTGGAAAAAGCTGCGTCAAATAGGACAGCCTTTTAACGCAATTTAAACTAAGATTCCTATGGTCACCTAATGTGAGCAACATCGGACGCATAGTTGTGTGCACAGACTCCATGTCGATTTGAAAGCCAGAGATGAACGTTCGCATACATTCGAAAGCTGCCTCCTGTAGCTCGCCATTCGATTTCTCCAAGGCTTTGTAAAGAACCGTGAATATCCTTTCGCGGCAGGACACAATGTAGTGACTGGCGGCGAGGGCTCGTAGTGCCGATTTCCTCAGGGGCATTAGATTCGTGACGGATTTATAGCAACTCAGTTTCGCTAGATTCGCTTCCTCCGCCTCACAGAGACCCAACAGTTCCTGAAAGAACACCTTGTGTTCTGCCACATTTAAATCGATGGTGAAGAGACGTGGATTCAAGGCGGTGCAGAACGTAGTCCCGTCCATCAAGCCGATCTGTGCGTTTGCGGGCTGATGTCTCAATAGGTGTTTCCTAGGTGGGATCATGTCAGCTAAGACTTCCTTGTGGGGTTCCATTACTTCCGTCACAGTTTTGTTTTGGATCTCGGCGAGCTGGCGCAACGCTGTCATAGCTTGCTCACGCACAATGGTATGTGGTGATGTCACTTGCCTAACTAGTTCGCGAGTAACATCGTGTAGACCTTTGTTTCGGGCATCCAGCAGTTCCGCATTACTTTCTTGAATACTAGGATCAACACAGATTCTTATCATTTTATCCAAACTTGTCTTTGCCATGTCGATAGCACCGTTAGACACCTCGTCAGTTAAATCCATCATCACAAATATGAGAGCTCTCAGGAACATGAATTGATGATCAAGGACCCATTTTATAGCCATTCGCTCGGTGAGGAACTTGATGCCAATACAACCGCCGAGTTTGGTGTACCAGGCGCGCTCGTAGCACAACATGCACATCCTGTCTGCCGCGTATTCGATGATGGGCAACCTGCATGCTCGTTCCTTCGACCCTAGAATTTTTGTCGCTGTATCTAATATCAACATCAACACTAGATACGCCATTCTATGCAGATCTTTCTCTTCGTGAGACATTATAGAGGCGAGTGCATCGATCAGTACAAGTGGATCTTGTCCTTGCGTGCGAATGTCACGTTCTGTCCACGAGAACAGACCAGCTTGTTGCGCGATGGCGATCATCGTATAATGCCTCACAATAGAAATCACCATGCCAATCACTAAAGGTCTCAGTTCCTTAGTTTCCGCGGCGATAAACAGACTCGTCACCGCGGTCTGTTGGACGTCGCGCGCTACGGTATCCGGACATTTGTATTGACTAGATGCGTGGCAGAAACTTATTTCACTCTCGTGAAAACTTGGATGCGTGAACAGTTTGTGCAATATGTTATTAACATCATCTAATCTCAGAGTTGCCGCCAAGTAACAATTCACAACCTCGCAGCATTGTTTGCGATAATATAAGTCTGTTGTGCTGGACTTCAAGGCGATGTATGCTGTTTCGATCACCTTTTCCATGGAAAAGTCAATTGGACACGCGGGTCCTTGAAAATAAACCACTACCGTTGGTGAACCAGTTTCACGATCATTGTACTGTAACTTCTGAGGCTCTATCATCATTTTACGATTTCCACCGCCGAACTTTCCAAGAACCCGAAATGCTACGTGAGCTTGATCCGTAGAATTATGCAATATCCTCCAGAGAGCTTGCATTAAGTCTGCACGAACCGGTTGTATATGTTCATATAAGAAATCAGGCTGTAAGTTATCAACGCACAATTCTAAAGTGCGCAAGCCTTGACTGACGAGACAGTAACTGCCGTTAAGAGCAGAAACCAGCGGATCCATTAACATCGGAAGATAAGGGAGAAGTGAACTTAATCTAACAGGTACAGTTAAACAAAGTTCGACAAACAAGTCCTTCATATGCTGTCTGTGTAATCCGGATTGTAATCTGTTCAATCCTTCCAACATGTTCGGAAGTAGAGGTAAGAATTCCTGATAAAGCAAATCGTGTGAACCACCTCCAATGGATCTGAATAATGCTCGTAATAAAAGGAAATAATTGTACGGTTCTTTTGCAGACATAGCTAATTCCATTGCTCGGTTAACCACTTGATTCAAATGTGGTCGAAGCATATGTTCGTTTTCTGCGGGAAAAAGAGACACACTTCCAAAGACAAGCTTGAATAAACGCAGATACAGATTACTCCGCTCCACATTCGATCCCATATCGTTCATCCTTTCTAATAAATATTGCACTAATATTGTAGCAAACCTAGATGATATAGTGTGACTCGACAAGAATGCGCTTCCGATAATCTGTAAAGCGCTATTCTTGAAAATCCTCTCAACCATATAATCCACGGACATGGAAAATATCTCTTGAAAAGTCTGAGGATTCATTTGCGTGAATATGTTGCCAAATAATTCCAACACTTCTTTTTCTTCTCTCGATCTGATGGTTTGAGTCTGTGCCGGTCTGCCCGGTTGTACAGGAGTTCCGACAACTGTAGTGCCTATCGTATATATGTCCAGAGCGGGCAATGCCCATTTAACAAGTTGGATGTAAATTAAAGTTTCCTTCGGCTGCAGCTGATTGGACTGTGTCTCGCCTGATCGATTAACGCAGTTCGCTGTTATAGCCTTCGCTCCATGTACTAAACTTTTCACGAGATTACGATAATCTAAAACGTTGTAACTCATCACTTGCCAATTCGGAAAGCCAAACTTGGACTTTCCCGATTCCTTTTCTTCGGTCAATTCGGTGGCTGTTTTAAGAGGGTCTTCTGACGTTGAAGTATCCGTCGTTGAAGTATTTGCCCGCAATTGCTTTGTTTTATTTCGCAGGATCGGGATATAAATTTTGGAAAGAACTTTGAACTTCAGAACGAAGACCAAAAGTATCCGCATTAATAACTCCCGTCCTTGTGTGCTGTTTTCCACGTCAGTCCTCTGACGACTCACCGTATCCACAAGATTCATCAATAACTTACAAGAAACCATTTGTACGGTTGTTGGTAGACTTGGATCGAGTAAATTTTTACTATACAAATGTACCGCGTGGGACACATCGTTGAGAGGTAGCAGCAGCCTAACGTGGTGGACAAGATCTGCGAGCGTAGAATAAGCCAAGGGTCGGAGGGCCTCTTGTGTCGTCCAACCGTGACCGATGAAAATATCCTCGTTGAAGAAGTACTCCATATGTGGAATAAATTGATTCCGTAAGTCTGTGGCAAGAATATGCCTAGAAGCTATCACTAACTCCTTTCGTAAATGTGCCACTTCCATGGGACATAAAGTAAATAAACCGAGGATGCCTTTCACTAACATCTGGCTATGCTGCGTTATTACTTCTTGATATACTCTAATCACATATGCCAAGAATGATAGTGCTTTTATTTGTGCGCCCATGAAATCAACAAAGACTTCTTTGTTGAATCCAGAAGATGCACGATGCTGAGGACTCGGCTGCAACGATATAGTCGTTATGACGATCGGAATGAAATCCGACACGTCCTGAAGCACGTTCTGTTTGTATAATTGATTCATCAGTACCACAATTATTGGCAATTCTTGAAGTACCTTGAGTGACATCACCGCCTTTGGGATTAAGTTGTACTGAAAGTGACGAAACATATATTAATTTACTTCGGTCTTTACACACAGGTTTAATAATTTTTTATTATGTTTGAATAATTGAGTAACAAGTAATGCAGGAACATGTCAGCTTCTATAAATATTTACTAGTAAGTAGATAAATGAAAGAAAATATATAGTTACCGTCAATACAGTACCATCAGCTGCTTTCTTTTCGCTTTGTATCGCCGTAATTGTGAACGTTTCCTTCAAAAGAGCTTCTATGTTAATCTCCGACAAATCTTTCACGCGAAGAGGAGGACGTGGTTCAAATATTTTTGGCAAATTCTTTGGTAACTCGCTGTACACTGACTTGACAAATTGGAGGAAATATTGTATCTGCAAAACAAAGAGATCAAATCGATTCCTAACATTACCAATTTTATAAATGCTATAATTATAGTATTATAATGCTATAATTATAGTATATATTATTGTATTTTACCATAATTGTATCACCATAGTTGTATATGTTATAACTTGCTATGATTACACATAAATAAAAATAATTATGAATAAGAATAATGAAATATCTTTTAACTTACCTCTGGATTAAAAGTCGGCTTATATTGTTTATGAAGTTCAATAATGATACGTAGACACACTAAGACATTTTCTTCATTGTCTGTCTCTAGCAATTTAGATATGAGAGTCAAGATTTGTCTAACGTACGGACGCAAATACTCATTGCTGGGTAATCGGTGTATCATTTCCAGTATTAATTTTCTAACTTGCTGAATATTGTATTCCGATATGAAATGCGGCTCTCCTTCCTGCAGCATCTTCAGAAAGATCTTCATCATGTGGTCAAGAAATGCCGGGTATTGGGACGAACACATAATAATCTGTACAAATTAATATTTTACTTAAGTACATTATTCTCAAGCAATAGATTATTTAGAAACTTTCTGCCTGAATATAATCCTAAGGTCCACACCTACCTCAAAATTTTCCGACAATTCTTGAGCTGCCTTCAATTTCAGCTCATCCTTTGATACTGGATCGGCTAGCATAGTCACGTATGAACGATATGTATTCATTTGCGTCAGTGGATCGGGCGGCATTTTGATTAATATGATAAGTCTTTGTTAAATGTTCAAATTACTAGTAGTCCATAAAAAACCTGTGCACACACAGATAATCAAATAATTTTTCTTGAAGTAGAAACTACATGTAACATAAGACATCTTACGTTAAATAAAATTTTGTGAAGTATGCATAAATAAATTTAATAATATTTAATTAATATTTAATAATCGTACGAAATAGGATATTTAAAATAATACATATACAAGCCGAAATCATCTATCAGGAGTCGAAGTGACAAAGTGAATTAACATATATTAACATGTCATCACGTTATCTTACATTTATTTTTACATCCTATAGTATATCACTTTGGCTTCTGTTATAACCGATTTACACGCAAATGCGTCAGCAGTGTCTTTCAATTTTGACATCTTGAAGCGCTGCAAATTCAATGCTCGAAATGCGTGCAAACTATCTTGTGACACATAGTTGTTCTTTTCAGCTGCACTGCTGAACTGGTGTAATAAGTTACAGTGAGAAAAAATGTATATAATACTTGTCTCACTTTAACTTATTGCACCAGTTCAGCAGTTAGCTGAAAAGAACAGACCAACAGTGCACCGCAATTTCAATCGCACTGTGTATATTTATTTTTACAATTATATCTGACACAAATATTAAATTGTTAAGAGGTATATGTACATACTTCAAAATCAATGTCTTTCTATATCGTGTAAACAAGCCTTGGCAACCACTTGGGTATGCTAAAATCTTCTTCATTTGCATAATACTGCGTATAATTGTATTTTGATAAACAGATCTTTCGCGTAATATAAAAGATAATGGTAACAGTAACCGTGCGAATGATGACGAATAGCATAAGAGTTTTTGCAAGGTGGAACATTCGAGCAAAACTACGAACTCTGTATAGCTCAAACTACTACACTTTATTGTAGATGTATAAGCCACTTGGTAACGCACGGTATTGGTCTCAGTTTACTGGCATTGTTGCGAGTGATAAGATGTGAACTCGATTGATGTAGGCATTTTCTTTCTAACAAGTTTGCAAGGTGTATAAAGTGATAAAAAATGGACGAAACGACGATCGACTCGATCTTCTCGGGATCGTTGAAATCCCTACCAGCGGTCAGCTCTAAAATTGTGCGAATTTTTACGAGTTCGACCTTCACCGGTAAGTTTCTTTCTTAATCCACTTGGGACGATAAAAAATAGTAGAATAAAAATAATAGGAGATATATAATTTGATACTGAAAAGAAAGATAGAAAAACATACGCAGGGATCTATCACAGACTTGGCAATTTACAATGTGGAATATAACAGTAGCTGAATTTCAGACACAACGATGGAGAGGAACACTCTCATGGCTCAATGTTACCCCAAACTTAAGGATTATTGCAGAGAGAAGCATGGATTAGAGTTTCAGGTAAGACTCAATGCGATAAATATAACGATTTGGCGCTGCTCAGCGAACTGATCTTTACTTAGCAAAAAGTGTGTTATATATCTCGATGGAGAAATTGATTCTCACGGTGCCAGGTACCGATAACATGTACATTCAGCCTCTCAACATTAATTCTTGATAAGGATTCTAACTGCGTTCGAGTCAAACACGTTGGACAATTAGTCACACTTGATTGTCCGTTAGTTATTGTCTAACGTAATAAGCAGAAGTTATCTTATCGCTATTAGCGTATTAACTCCGAGTCGAAAATTTGATTCTACTATCAGTCTCATTATTCTATTCAACACCTATTTTGACGCTAAAGAAAGTGAAAAGAGAAATTTCAGTTATCGTGCGAGTCAAAGTAGGAATAAATTATATCGTTAGAATTACTTATTTTGCTAACTTAGCTTCCACTGCGTTGTCAAAAATTCAAAATTTAACATAGAGCCAAAATTTCGACTCGGGAACTCTTTGCCTTCCAATGTCACGTTCGATTGAACATAACATTTCGTTGTAGCTCGTCCTACGTCAAGACTCAAATTTTCTCCCAGTCAATACTTAGTCGAGATTGACCTAATACTAGAGATTTTATAAATATTTGTATTCAAGAAACTAGTTCCTTTATTCGTCTAATTCAACAAGAGATAAAATACATCGACCATCGAAAAGTAACTGAATTTACCAGCGGATTGATTGCAATGAAATGACAAAGATACCTCACGATCAGTCAGCAGTTATGACTGGAGTTAATTAAAACACTATATAATTATATTTTACAACAAGAATTTTGTTAAATCCTTGCGAAAAGTGATTCTGTAGTGATCCCATTTTTTTCCGTCGATTACGAATCTGATCGAAAATGTTCCATAAATTCCTATAATTAAAATCATAAGTTTCTATAATTAAGATTATAAGTTTCTATAATTAAGATTATTTACTTATAAATAATTAAATAATAATAATTTAATAATTTATAATTAAATAATGGGTTATTTTAAAATCACCGACAATGTTTTCATCGACACGATTTTGTCGATATTGTTTATATACCGACACGTTGAAATCACCGAAAAATGTTTGCAGCGACTTTTGTTTCACCGACAAATTTTATCATCGACACTCATTTCATCGACAGTGACGAGTTATTTTTATCTACAATAATTATGTATATATATATATACAGGGTATAGCAAAAGTACCGGAACGGCAAGATAACTCGGCGGGGGAGCATTTTAGAGAAAAATGTTTCAGACAAAAGTTGTAAGGCTTAAAAAAACGCATTCAACGATAGTAGTTATTTGACATAGAATGACGTCGCCAAGGTAAGAACAAGGACAACTTTGCTTTTTTAAATAGAAACATATTTTTTTATTACGGCATTTTATTCAACGTAAAAACGCAAACAACTTTTGCTTGAAAAAATTTTTTATACGACCTCTATTTTCTAAGATATTTACGTAAATATCTACAAGATTATTGGTTTCAATAATTTTTTACTTGAATTCTATCAACTTTAGTGGAAAATATGAAGAGATAAAAATTGTATATTTTGTTCTCATAGAGCTCTGAGAATTTTTTCAGAATTTTATATTAACTTTTTAGTACTTCATTTTCTTACATTTTCTTGAAGTACTAAAAAGTTAACACAAAATCTGAAAAAATTCACAGAGCTCTATGAAAACAAAATAAGCAATTTTTATTTCTTGATATTTTTTGGTAAAGTTGATAGAATTCAAATAATAAAGTAAAAAATTATTGAAACCAATAATTTTGTAGATATTTAAATATTTTAGAAAATAGAGGTCGTATAAAAAATTTTTTCAAGCAAAAGTTGTTTGCGTTTTTACGTTGAATAAAATGCCGTAATAAAAAAATATGTGTTTCTATTTAAAAAAGCAAAGTTGATCTTGTTCTGACCTTGGCGACGCCATTCTATGTCAAATAACTACTATCGTTGAATGCGTTTTTTTAAGCCTTACAACTTTTGTCTGAAACATTTTTCTCTAAAATGCTCCCCCGCCGAGTTATCTTGCCGTTCCGGTACTTTTGCTATACCCTGTATATATATATATACATAATTATTGTAGATAAAAATAACTCGTCACTGTCGGTGAAATGAGTGTCGATGATAAAATTTGTCGATGAAACAAAAGTCGCTGCAAACATTTGTCGGTGATTTCAACGTGTCGATATAAACAATGTTAATGAAATGTGGTTTCGGCGAAATCGTGTCGACGAAAACATTGTCGGTGAAATAATTGTCGATAATTTCAAGATAACCCTTAAATAATATGTAATAGATCACCTGGTAATTATCTAACATCAATAAATAAATAATTAGATAATCATAGAACTCTGACATTTCCAAACAATTCCAATCTGCACAGAAAAAACAGCGCAGCGGACAAAGTATACGCATACGCTGTGGTGCGTGCTTCTAAAAAAATTTGCGTTACAGAAAAGTTATTTCATGTTACTTATTTATCTTTATTTTAGGATTGTAGCTTAAGAATGTATTTTAGTTTAAGCTATTCCTGCGAATTTATATAAAACGTCTCAGCTTTTTATAAACAACTTTAAAAATGACCAAAAACGAGTTTTTTTGACCCGATGTTTAACCTGATTTTTCTCATAAACCTGACGTGCTGGAACATTTTCCATTTCGGATTCGTAATCAATGGAAACAACCTATCAGAATTATTCACATGTCATTTCGCGTGTCATTAACATGAAAAAAAAAGTTAAAAAATGTTGTACAGTGTTATCAATAAAAATTATCAACGCACACCAGAAGATATTAGAAGAAATCAATATAAAAATTCCCCTTACACGAGATGGTTAAATTTCTCCTCGTAGGTAGTCGATATGAGATGGGGTGTGCGCGACGAAGCTACTGATGATCACATGACTACGGAGCTGTGCATGAGAGAAATAGAAAATTGTCAGAGACTGTCCATGGGGCCTAATTTTGTTGTGAGTAAATAACATATACATACACGCGCGCGCGCGCGCACGCAACACACACAACACACACACACACACACACACACACATATTCTCTCTTTTTCTCTCTTTCTTTCGGGGGTTTCTTCACATTATCATTATGTCGTTTCGAGGCTTAGTTGCTGAACTATAAAGATAAATAGTTAGCCTCTCACAGGTCAGATACGGCAGGAAAGGTAATTCACCATTAGACACAGACGTTGGGGAATATTCATACATGTAACAATATTCATACATCTTAGTTCGAAAACTTTCAATGTCAATGTGATTGTGCAAAATAGTAAATAAATTATTTTAACTTAGTGATTTCGTTTGACAGATATAACAAATGTATATGTTCATATAGGTGTTCCTCGGGCAAAAATACGGATACCGTCCGATACCGACTTACGTCCTTAGTTCGGAACTGGAAATGTTGAGAACAGAATTAGATAACCAAGGGATGGACGTTACTGTTTTGGACAAATGGTACAAGAAGGATAGTAATGCTGTGCCGCCTACCAGTATACTACAACCGATCTCGTCCATCCTTAAGAATTTCAACAATAAAGTAATTATCTCTCGACGTACTTATTTACAGATGCATGTTTAATAATTCTATTTTTTCGAATACGCAGCTAGTCGGTTGATGGTTAATTAATTATCCACTTTTCTTATATATGTACACACACTTATGTTTCTCTATTTATATACTTTTAAGAGAATACCCAAGCTGCAACAAGAGGATCAAGCAATATGGTGGGATACCATGTTGAAAATGCAAAAATTATTTAGAAAGGGAGCGCAATCCTTGTTTAATACCGGCAAATTCGACAAGGACACTATGCATAATTACTTTATGTCGGGTGCGTAAGTGAGATTTGCAAGAAATATAATATAAGAAATATAATAACTGCCAATTTTGAAACAGTGACTGAGAGGGAGGTGATCAATGGGGTGCTGAACGTTAAAAACACGAAGAACCACTGTCTAGCTTACGTGCGATACATAAATAACATAAACCTGCAAAACCTGAGGAAGGCTGGTCTGTTTTTGGACATAGCTAATAGAAGTTTGGACAACGAAGCTTCGAAATTATTGGCGGATCTAAGAGATGAGAGACTGCCAAATAAAATTGAAAGTACAAACTTGCAGAGGTATTTCTCCCCGGTAGTTTTATACAAGATAAGTAATTAATCGTTAAACTACTCAACTATATGGAGAATATCGCACAGATACACCGTGGAATGGATCGGAAGAGAGGGCTTGGATCCTGAAACCCACAGCGAGTATCTGCAGCACTTTATAACTCACTTTTACAGAAACATAGTAAAGCTTGTGGATCGTGCCATGAGGAAGGAAGACAGTTCTGCGCAGGGTCAGATAATAACCGAGATTTTGCAACATCTTCATGCTTGCAATAATTCCGTAAAGGTAGAACTGTTATTCTGTTAGGTTTTGTTTCATATGTATGAGATTATTCTAATGTAAGTCCCAGGTACACATACAATCCCACATACACGTAAACGTTTTTTAAACGTATCTATAGTTTCAGAACCGTAAAGCATCAATAAGAAATGTTTTAACAGAAACCTTTCTGAAACCTTATTTATGAAACGTTTATAAAATGTTTCTTTAGCGATTTTTTCGCAAAAATAACGTTTTACCTAACGTTTTTTGAATGACACTTTTACTCATGAAAAACGTCTCAGAAACGTTATGAAACGTTTTGAAAACTGTTATGAAAGGTTTGGTTCTAACGTTTATAAAACATTTCTAAAACGTGTGTGTGCTACCTGGGATATTATTGCAATATTATTAATCCCGATCTCCCGTGGACTATTTTGTATATTTATGTGCATTTTTTATATTTATGTGTATCGTGTAGGTATTTTATGGACGCGAAGATACCTTAGAGAAGATAAAAAACTACATGCTGGACGACGGCGATAAGCCGTTGGTATTGTACGGAGAGGGTGGTTGCGGCAAGACTTCACTATTAGCAAAGAGCGCAGGTTTGACCAGCAGCAGCTGGCTCATGGGCAAGAAACCGATCAGTATAATTCGCTTTCTCGGTACTACCCCCGACAGCAGTGCGCTCACCCCTACATTGATCTCGATCTGTCAACAGGTAAATAAATTCTGCGTTTTATATATTCTGCTTTGTCTCAAAAGAGAAGTAAAAATTCAATTCACATATCGATTTTTTTTAAATAAATATATATTGTAGAAATGTCACAGTCGAAAGTAATTTCTAATAATAACTGAATAGAAAATGTCGCATTCGAGACATTACAAAATAAAATTTAAACTTTTTGTACTTTTTTCAAAATATCATGAATTAATATTATAAACAGTACGAAATTTACATATGCTAATCGATTGTTCATCATTTAACCAAGAAAAACCATTGTTTAATTCTGCTCTAGATATTGGTTATTGTATTTTCAACAAAAACATTTCATTGTTGCTGAAATCTTTTGTTTTGGTAAATTGACGAGTCTACCATATATTAAAAATGAAGATATTTTGTAAAGAGTAGCAAAGGTTCCTCTATATGCAAGATTTGGATTTAAGTCAACGTAAAGAAAACAGGATCTTTGTTCAGCTGGATAAATTTGATTTGCATACGAGCAGATATACGTGTTGGATCAGAGACCCTGTGTATTAATTTCAAAAGAAAAGCGAGGCGGAGTGGAGGGATATGGCCTGTTCTGAATATTTACCAAAGGAAGAAATCGTATCTTTCCGTCTATATTTTCAGATCTCGTACAATTACGGATTATCGTTTGAAGAAATCCCTGACGACCTGGTACCACTCACAGCTTATTTCAAGTACTTGTTGACTCTAGCTAATACCGAGCAGCCCATTCTACTATTCCTAGACAGTGTCGATCAGTTGACAGGTGTGCAGGGTAACAAGTTGTCCTGGCTACCCACGAGACTTCCACCGAACTGCAAGGTAGACGTGAATACGATTAATAATGTAGTGCTGCGTTAATCGGAATTAGCAAGATCATAACGATTAAATTATTTAGTAGAGTTCAATCATTATTGAGACACACTGCCGTGTTTCCTGATACATATAACTAATTAAAATTTTTAGTATCTATCAATCTAAGCTGCTTACAAATAAACAGTCAAGTTCCTTAGACTTAAGTGTATAAAGCTTGTCATCTTGTTTTCTGGAATGCTATTGAGGAATAATGATTGGGTTATATCTTTCAGATGATTTTATCGTGCGCAGCGGAGGAATCTAATCCGGTAATTTCAAAGGACTATCAGTTGCTACGCAGGATGATAGACACTGAAGAAAGCTTTATCGAAGTGACTGCTCTAGGCGAAGACCTAGCTATGGATGTGATAAGGTGAAAGAATATCTGAACGTATATCCTTTTCCAATTCTCTCGCGTCTATCTCCAACTCCTTGAACGAGCTAGTTGATTTGTTTAAAAGATTGCTTAAACAATTATTATTTAATTAAATGATTGTTAATGTTGAAACTGGTTCATTATTTGTAACTCACTTTCTTCTTTGAACGTTTCACATATCGGCTGGATAATACTTGTTTCCAGAATGTGGATGAAAACAGCTAAGAGGGACCTGAACAACTATCAATGGCGCTTGGTGGCGAACGCGATATCGAAGTGTTCCCTGCCAATTTTTGTAAAGCTCGTGTTTGCGGAGATCTGCAGGTGGCGTAGTTACACAAAACCGGCGGACACACACTTGGCCAGCACGGTGATGGACAGCATAATGATGCTGTTCGAGAGGATCGAAAAGCAACATGGCAAGATCCTAGTTTTCCACGCGCTGGCCTACATCACGGCCGCCAAGTCGGGCTTATCGGAGTCCGAGCTTGAGGACTTGATTTCCTTGGACGATAAAGTTCTGGACGACGTCTATCAGTATCATTTACCACCAGTGAGACGTATCCCTCCTCTGCTCTGGACCAGAATAAGAAACGACCTGCCTAATTATCTCAGCGAGAGGGAAGCGGACGGAGTGAGCGTGTTGAACTGGTACCACAGACAATTTAGGGACACCGCCAAAGAGCGATACTTCAAAAACATGAATATGGCGATGTACTTTCACTCGATGATTGCAGACTATTATCTCGGGATTTGGGGTGGCGGCAAACCAAAGCCCTTCAAGTATACTGAGATACAGAGACATCGGTAAATACATAATAACAGCATTGTTACATGTGTGATAAGAAATCTCACATAAAATAATCACAATTTATAGATTCAATTTGACAGACAAGGAAGGTATAGCAGACAGGAAAGTGCCGGAGCAGCCGTTGGCATTTTATTCGAAGGAAGGAACTATCTCAAGATACAATTTGCGAAAGGTGCCATAAAAAATATCCTCATAAACACGATTGCCGAAGACCTGTCAATTCTTTCTTTCACGATTGCAGTTCGGAGAATTACCGTTTCACCTGGTGAGAGCACGACGTTTTAAGGATCTGTTTGAGAATGTTCTGTTTAACTATGAATGGTTGCACGCTAAGTTGAGCTCTTGCCCTCTGCAAGCGGTACTTTCCGACTTCGAGGACGCCTGTAACTTTATCGATAACCAGAGTTTAGTGAGGTGAGTCCACGTAAAAAGAAAATATCTTTCCAGATATTTTATATTCTTATTTTGTTTATATAGACTTTATTTACTTACTTTTACTTGCTTATATAGATATTTTATATCTCATCTTGCTTATATATTTAGATTTAATACGTTTTTTTAATATTCTTCAAATGCCTCATAAATTTTTGGATTGGATTATAAAATATGTAATTATAATATTATATTATTTAATATTAGTATTAGAAATATTATTAGCAAACCAAAACTCTACGAGGTATCCGAAAGACATTAAAAAAATCAATTAAAATAAAGAATTATATTAATAATAATATAATTTAAATAAAAAAGGCAAATAAGAGCCAACACCAAGAATTAGAACAAAAATCGCAAATTAATTGAAGATTAATTGAAGATTATGGTTAATAAGAATTTTTTGTATACATTTCGGTCCTTGGTTTGGACCCTCTTCAGTGTACGCAATTTACAATAAAGATACTAACGAAATTGATTATTTAACATAGTAATTATAAAAAAATTAAAAATGGCAACGGTAAAATAATAATGTACAAATATTAGCAAATAGCCTATTGTATAAATTTCTATTATGAATCCAACTCATTGAAGTCTTGGCTACTCACTGTAGCCTTGAAAAAAATATGAGACCAAATATTTTAGTAATTGCCTTATTTAAATTATAAAATTAACATTCTTAAGCTTACCAAACAGTCAAACAGTTGGAACATACATATCGTAGGCGAGACGCCTTTGTTGTTATGAACAGAAGATCGGTCAATAGAATAGATAACGAAAATCAAATTCAAATATATGTATTCATAAATGAGACTAATAAACATCGATAGAGGTAAAAAGCAAAATATTTGTTTTAATTAATTATATTTGCGATTTTTACCACAATTCCTGGCGTTGGCTCTTACTTACTTTTTTTATTATTCAATTGATTGTATATCTTAAGAGCCTTAACCGTTTTAAAGACATTAAAAAAATTACATAATACGTTAATAAGCAAGATAATGATGTCTTATCTTGCATCTCTATACATAATATAATAATATTATAATCATAATTAAAAGCGTCTTGTTTTAGAGAACTCATGTTAGTAGCCGATGCTTTGAGATTAGGCGGTGCAATTCTGGGGAATCATCCAGACATGCTTGCGCCCCAACTAATCGGTCGACTGCTGCCAGAAATCGGTGCAAATGTTAATGTGAGGATGTTGCTCCGAGCATGCGATCAAGATGGTGTCAAGAATTGCGCGTTGCTTCCCTTATATCATTGTCTACATACACCAGGCGGACCGTTGAAAGTAATCCATCAATCAAATCAATCAAGTTCTCATTTTCCTAAGCAATTCTTCGAATCATGAATCGACTGATGAACAATTCTTCAATTCTCTCATCTGATAATCGTGTATTTCTGAGTGACAATGTTGCTCTCTATTCTAGTATTCGTTAGAAGGTCATCAGTTCGCAGTATTTGGATTTTGCCTAACGTCAGATTACCGTTACGTGGTGTCGATATCGAACAAATTTATCACCTGGGATCTGAGCACCAGTGACATGACGAGGGACGTGAATCCTGGTGTGGAGGGCATAATGCAGCAATTGGTCTTGAGCCCTGATAATAGATACGCTGCGGCCTTTACAACCAATTATCAGGTACGATATTTTTGCAGCACAATCATTGATATTTATATCAACGAAGGAACAAAGAAGATGCGACATGAAGATTAAGCCGAACTTGTGATGAAAAAAAGCCAATAAAAGTCGGCGCAAGATGTAGATTGAGAAATTTACTCAATCTATTGTAATAAATAAATTAACCTGGATAAATGAAAAAAGAAATAAGATTTCACAAGGACTTCTCTAAGAATTGTTCAAACATTTCAGCTGTCAATCCCATCCTCTTCAGTGGAAAAATTTTCGAAAAGGCGAAGCACAAAAATTATTTGATTATGGACTGACTACCAATATAGAATACCGGAACCTGGCAGAATAGCCTATATTTCAAGATTGGCAAAAGACAGACTTTCTGACTCCGTTTTTATTTATAGATTGAGTGAATTTTACAATTTGCATCCTGTGTCGGCTCTTATTGGCTTTTTCCTGTTGATTAGATATCTAATCTAAGAGTCTTGATTATTTATTTATTTTTTCTTAAGTCAAACTTATAGACTTGTAATCTTTCGTAGACAGTTGTATTGAATACTTTGACGAGCGAATTCGTCATTATCGATAATCCTTTACCGAGCGAAGACGCAGTATGCGGCGTGTATCTGATGAATCAGTACGCCTTTATTTGCGGAAAGTTAGGCTGGTGTAGGTTCGATTTGCGAGGGAACCTGCTCGACACTCACACTAACCCCGAAGATTCAAACAAATGGCCCATTCTGCGTAAGAAGTAAACTTGTCATGCCTCGCATACGTATTTTTTACGTCACACGTTCCTCATTCTGATCTTCCTGTGTGTAGATGTTGAATATACGAATTTGGATCACTACAGAATCGTATTCTGGTCAGGAAGTATCGATGATACGCGCATGCTTTTGCACACTTATAGAAAGAAGATATCACTGGATCCATTCCAATTTCACAGGTATGATACAGAAAAAACGAAAGACTCATGTTAACTCTATTGTTAACTGTTTAGAAAGATGACAGATTTCTTTAAAATTTGTTAGAATAACTGGAAGAACTCTCACTCGAATATGACTTACAATAAGTGCACTTAGTTCCTTATATCCATATGATACTTTTTAAATTCGTTCATAGTGTGGTATCTTTTACAGCATAGATATGGACAAAGTCCAATGACCTATAGAAATAAAATTTAAAAATATAGATAAATAAAGAAGAATTCTTAAAATAGAATATTTTTGACCCACTGACAAAACTTCAACTAATCATTGGATACTGTTGTAACCGCGATGCGTTGCGTGCCGGATTACGCTCACCGGTTCGAATTCGTAGGAGGCGGAATAATTTTGAAACAGTGAAATCAAAAATAAACTTGTTCGTATATTTAAAATAAGCTGTTGCTATATATTAAATTATATCTTTGATGTCGACGCCGTTTTTTTTTCGGTCGATTGTATATACGCTTGTTAGGTGTTTTATTTCGGCGATGGCTCGCGAGGTGTTGCGCGCGGTGCGCGGGACGCGGTCGGTGTGTTGTCGCGTCGCTTCATCAGACGTGAATCGTCTGTTGACGTTTCCGCGGCTTGTCTATTTAAATGCCGGTTGACAGTGTCTTTAAATTGCTGCGGTACGATGCAGCGCTGTATATACGGTATCGCAACTGATATGCTTCCGGGAGATCGCCCTTATGGCGAAAATTCGGATGCAATGATGTCTCTAGTAGATCGGATATTCGGTGCGTGCAGACAGAGGCTGTTTCGGCAGTCCGTCTGTGTGCGCGGAGTCTTACAAGGGGAGGACCAGGTGACTTACCCTGGGATTTCGACTTCAATTTTTTTAATTATTCTGGAGATGAAAAAAAAAGATACGTGTCTCGGCGTTTGATAGAATAGGCCTTAGTTTCGGAGTAATAAATTTGTGAAAATTGGCCATATCCGAAGCGCACCGCGGCGCGCCATATAAGCCTTCCCGGTAACTGTACTTCCAACTAGTGCAGTTGGCTTCGTGAGTTAGGTGCTTGCTTCATAATTCGTAAGATCCAAGTTCGCTCATGGAGGTGAGCAATAATTTTTTTTTAATGAGTGTTTTTATTTATTTTTATTTATTTTGATGATATTGATATAGTATGCAAATTTTTTAAATAGAAAATTTAATTTAATATCACATTCTAAACATTAATTTAAATTTAATTTTAAGGGAATTTAATTCAAGTAATAATATTTGAAATAATAAATAAGTAATAATAATAATATATAAGTTATTTGTAATGGATAACATATAAAGGCAACGTATCTAAATTTTCAAATTGTTTAAATTTAAAATTTAATTAGAAATAATATTAATAGTATTTTAAATTTCTAGTTTTTAAAATAATTAATCGTAGAAGAAGAAGAATAAACAAACATCTGAAATGTGAATGTGAATATTTTTATTACAAAATTCAATTATTTAAGTATTGCGGATTTATTACAAAATTAAATTATTTCGATGCGGAACAATTACTTGGATGATAAACATCATAAAAACATTTAAAGTATATAAATTTTCTACAGTTTGCACAATGAATAAATGAAGGAGTATCACATACACATTTATTTTTCCGTAAGTCGGGGGGAAACATATTTCGTAGACGTCTCGAAACACATTTCTTTCAGGAATTACTTGAATTAAAATTCCTTTAAAATTAAATTTAAATTAATGTTTAGAATGTAATATTAAATTAAATTTTCTATTTCAAAAATTTGCATACTATATCAATATCATCAAAATAAATAAAAATAAATAAAAACACTCATTAAAAAAAAATTATTGCTCACCTCCATGAGCGAACTTGGATCTTACGAATTATGAAGCAAGCACCTAACTCACGAAGCCAACTGCACTAGTTGGAAGTACAGTTACCGGGAAGGCTTATATGGCGCGCCGCGGTGCGCTTCGGATATGGCCAATTTTCACAAATTTATTACTCCGAAACTAAGGCCTATTCTATCAAACGCCGGGACACGGATCTTTTTTTTCATCTCCAGAATAATTAAAAAAATTGGGGTCGAAATCCCAGGGTGAATCACCTGGTCTTCCCCTCGTTAATTGGCTTTGTTTGCCTTGTTTGTCGAATGAGTTCTGCTCGTTCGTACGAGATCCCGGAAAATACGGTACGATATGAAGGTAACGGTATGATATTAACGATATGAAGGTCGCATTAAGGCGCCCTTCCGACAGATTGATTCCAGGACCTTCGGTGGTCTTGGGATCTTGCGGATTGCGGTATTTTTAGCTTAGTGTCGACGTCACGCATCCGTGAGCCGACGGTGGAGTGACTACTGTCGCGTATTCGCGAACAGAAGTCTGCGAGGATCGGTATACGAAACAGTATCGACGTCACGTATTCGTGAGCCGATGGCGAAGCGATTCCTGTCGCGGATTCGTGAACAGGAATCCACCAGGAACGGTATTCGGAACAGGGTTGGTGTCACGTTTTCGTGAACCGACAGCGGAGTGACTCCTGTCGCGTATTCGCGACGGAAGTCCATCAGGAACGGTATTCGAGAAGATGTTTCAGTAATCTCTGTATCGGAGATTCGGATCTCTCTAGAAATCGGTATTTCGAGAGCGTATCGGATTCTGTTCTGTTCTCGAATTCGCGGCGCTTTATATTTGCAAATCTCGCTTGATTCGCTATGTACCGCAGCTGATCGGCAGTCTGTTTACTCGTGCGTTTTTGCACGTTTCCTTTTCCGCGTTTTTGTTGCGTAATGTTCTGCGGTTTTCTCCTGTCCGTAACGATCGATGTTCGGATCGTTGCACTGTTTCTGATTTTCTAGAAACAAATAATAATAATTATTTGTTCACCAGATCCGAACAAAACTATGAAACTAGGAATTTATTATTGATCGTTGAAATGTTTTTTAAGCTTTGTACCTTTGATATATCTTTAAAATAAAATCAATTACACATTTGTTTTGAAAGTAATTATGAAGAACATTTCATAATTATCCCATTTTTTATAATTACCTATACTCCTTTACAATACATATTTATTATGTGAACCAAAATATCAAATTACCTACATTTACTACTTATTTTTCGATACATAAATATGTAATTGATTTTATTTTAAAGACATTAAGAATTAAGACACTAAGATTAAAAATACTTCATATAACTTTCAATCATCAGTAATCAATCATAAATTCCGATTTCTATAACTTTCTCGGGACTTGATGAAGAAATAATTGTTATTTTCTGTTGCTAGAAGATCCCAGAAAGTTTTCAATGATTAGTTAAGGCTGTATCAATGGGTAAAAAATAGCGTATTTTTAACATTCTCTTTTGTCTAAATTTGTAGTTAATGTACCATAATTTGAAAAATTAATAGAATATTACAGTCGATTATTAACATAATGAGTATATTAAAAAAAGAAAAAATAACAGATAGAGGAGCGATTACGTCCAAAAGTCCATGTCCAAATTTAAGTCGCGAAAAATGATTTCAGCGCCATGGTTATGACTAAGGATAAAAGTACTTTGTACGCGTGCACGAATAAAGACGACTACAGAATCACGAAGTACACTAGCGACGAAACTTCGTCTTACTGGGAAAAGATTTTCGACATGCCCCGGGCGTACAATGACGACGTGGAGTATCTGTTGCAGTTAAAGTTAGACAGGGAAGAGGAGATGCTGTTGGCGACTACCGGAAACGGCTTCATCGTATGGTTCTTGGAGAGTAAGAGCGATGCGCACGTGTTGATGTTGCCGAATGGCGTGAGGAATATCAGCACGAGAATGATGTGCTCGAATTCCATCATGGTCAGCGGCACGAAGAACTATGCTGTCGCTGGTGTAAGGTGCGCGTTGTATAGATAAATAATCCTGCATACATTAAATTTTTGTATAAATCAGGAAATCAACACGACGATAAATCTTCTCTCGTAGGAAAAATCTGTATGTTTGGTCACTGGAGACTTCGGAGTTGGTGAAGATATTAGACGCACATTTTGCGAGGATCATTCAGCTAGAGGCGTTGACTATCGGCAATTGGAACAGTGTTGTGACATCGAGTATCGACAGAAGTGTTAAGGTGTGGAATATCAACAATATTTTCGAGCAAGTTCACGTTATTGACAGACACGAATTGCAGATAGACATGATAAGGTAATATATTATACAACAAAATATCATTGTGTTACTAAAAAAAAGCGATTACTTAGTTTATTTGCCTTCTTTTGGCTAAAAGAACTAATGGTTATCTTCAGCAAAGAATATTTCTTTGATGATAGACTCAAGATATATTTATCATAAATTTTACAAAATTTACTGAATATAATTGAATATTATGAAACTTTATCAAATATTACTTTACTGAATATTATGAGACTTCAATGAAGAAAAAGTTGGTTCGAATCTATGTAGCAAGAAAGCTGAATTTTTGTTTTAATTTAATATTCTTGATTAAAATACTGAACCCACTAAGATTCAGAATATATTTTAAACAAATTTAATGTTTATAATAACTTTAAAATAAATACATTAAATTTTTTAAATATATGAAACAAGTAATATTTATTTAAAGATAATATATAATTTTCTGCGTGTATATACTATTCTATTGTAAAATGAGTCAAAAGTTGCAGTTTGTAATCCGATGATATTCTTCGAGATAAGAAGATATTCAAAAAAATATCTTGTTAGTCTGAGCAACAACATTATTTTATATTGCAAAACAGCTTAGCCGAGGAAGGCAATTTGGCCGTCACAGTCACCAGAGATTGCGTCGGTGTTTGGGATTTGCAAACAGGTAGACTGATATCGAAGCTAGCCGACAGCCCGTTAGGGGCGATTGTTACGCACGCTTGCATCACACAGGACAGCAGGTTGATAATTTCCTCTACTTGACAAAAAATCATTATATACTTTTAAAATTTCTTGCAGTGGAATCTCACTCATAACGAGTGAAAAGTGGCGATAGTTTCATTCGAAATGACAGTGAAAATACTACCACTCGAAACCGGGCGGGTGAATGTTTTACTCAAACTCTTAGAGTGAATTCTGCCTTCATATGAGTGAATATTCTAATCGATTAGAATAAATATGTTTCTGTAACGGTAAACACTTCATTTCAAAACACTGAACACTTTTTTCTCTATACGTTTTGGAACACAGTCGATGGTCCAATGAGAGAACTCGTTTTTTATAAATTCCTAGAAATTAAGTTCTCTCATTGAATTAATTTTTAACCTGCATGAGAAAAAAGTTTTTAAACCGTTTTGAAACAAATTATATGTTGAGGAGTAATATGTATGCATATGCCTGTAGATGGTGTTAGGGATGCTAGGTCGGTCGCCTTTATGGGTTTTTTACAATTAACCGTTAATCGTTACCATAAACTTATATACTAGACTACGCGGTCTGTGCAGAAGAATGAAGGAAACACGGAAGGACAGATATATGCACGTAGGAAGGTGTTCCTTGTCTAATCGTGTAGTTGATAGGGAGAAGAAAAGAGAAGAAGTGACACACATGTGTGGGAAAAATGACCTCAACAAAAGTTGCTCGGACCTATAAAAACTATCTGCTAGTAACCTTGGATTTTACCTTGGCTCCAATCTTCAAAGTTATTCGGAGGTCAACTTTGTTTTTTTAAATAAAAATATCTATTTTTTATTACGCAATTTTATTCTACGTAAAGAAACTAACAAGTTTTGTTTGAAAAAAATTTTTATACGACCTTTATTTTCTGAGATATTTACGGAAATATTTACAAAATTATTGATTTCAATAATTTCTTACTCAAATTCTATCAACTTTACCGAAAAATAGCAAAAAATAAAAATTGTTTATTTTCTTCTCATAGAACTCTGAGAATTTTTTCAGAATTTTTAAATTAACTTCTTAGTATTGCATTTTCTTGAAATACTAAAAAGTTCATAAAAAAATTTGAAAAAATTCTCAGAGCTCTACGAGAAGAAAATAAACAATTTTTGTCTCTTGCTATTTTTCGGTAAAGCTGATAGAATTCAAGTAAAAAATTATTGAAACTAATAATTTTGTAGATATTTCCGTATTTTTGTAAATATCTTAAAAAATAGAAGTCGTATAAGATATTTTTTTAAACAAAAGTTGTTAGTTTCTTTACGTAAAATAAAATTCTGTAATAAAAAATGTTTCTATTTAAAAATGGATGTTTCTATTTAAAAATGGATGTTTCTATTTAAAAAATAAAGTTGACCTCCGAATAACTTTAAAGGTTGGGGCCAAGGTTAAATTCAAGAACACCAGTAGATAGTTCTTTTAAGCCCGAGTAACTTTTGCTCAGGTTACTTTTTCCGAAAATCCTGTCCTGTGGTCCTGCTGACTTAATTTTAAGCTAACAGAGTAAATATCATTGAAAAACGGCAAATTGCAATAGATTTTATCATTTCTGAATTTGTACTAATTTGTGCCACCGAGAAAAGTATGCAAATATTTCTGTTTACCCCTTAAAACAACCTCACATTTAACCAACCTCAAAAATAAAATTTCTCTTTTTCGATTATTAAGAATTAAATCGATAGAATCAAATTATATTTATTGCGTTTTTTATTACTCATTGGGTACTATTTTGTACCATAAAAAATAATTTTGTACCCCGTACTATTTAAAAAAATATTGTGGTCTTGCTAACTTAATATATAAAGAACAAAATAAAAACTGGTAAAAAACGACAAGAAATGATAGATTTTATCGTTTTTGAATTTGTACTAATTTGTACCATCAAGAAAAAGTGAAAAAATCGTGATCCTGCTATCTTTATATTAGGTGTAGATAAGGGAGGTTGTTTAAAGAGGAAAATATAAAATTTTCGATTTATTTCGAATGGTACAAATTAGTACAAATTCAGTACTAATTGTGTGTACTATGGTTTATTTATTTATTTATTTTTTTTGGTCCTGCTAGCTTGATATCAAGTTAGCAGCGCCATGATTTTTTTTTAAACGGCACGTGGTACAAATTTTTTTTTGTGGTACAAAATAGTACAAAATGAGTACTAAAAAATGCGATAGGTCCCATTCGATTCTGCTCATTTGATCCTGCTAGCTTGAGAGAGGTCTGTCCTCGTCTGAAATAAACGAATTTGCTTTTATTTTGTTCTTTATGAATGTGGCTATCACCCGAACTAGAATCTTTTTCATATCTTTAAAATTACTATTTTTTCCGGACCGCGAAAAGTTAAAATCTTTTAGTAAAAATTATACTACTATTTTTCAAATTATTTAATTCTAATTCGAGCGATAGTTACATTCATAAAGAACAAAATAAAAAGCAAATTCGTTTATCTCAGATGATGAGAACGGCAGCAATCAACACGCCCGATAGAAGACAATTTTACGGTGTGATCTGTTTCGTCCACTTGTATTTTCTCCAATTTTGAATAAAAAGCTTTGATAAAATTTAAGATGTTTCTTCAAAGATAAATAAATATCAGTTCAAAACATTAACTCTGTAGGATTAACCATTTGTTTAAAATTAATTGCCAAAAATCGCCTTAAAAACGGGTCTTCATACTAGAATATATACCTTCTTAAATAAAAATATTTACTTAATAATTCAGAGTGAAGAATTCGCTCTATATGAGTGTAAAACCATTCGAATTCGAATGACTCGGCGGTCACTCTACTTTTCGAGTGAAATTTCATCCCAAGAAATTTAAAGAGTAACATACAAATTGAGTGTAATCGGGAAGTAAAACCGGTACAAAAAGAACACGCCACAGCGAATTTCACACTTCAGATACATCGTGTCAACGGAATCGGGCAATGTTCTCGTGTGGAACAGAATCACGGAGCAAGTGTTGTTCAAGGAAGAGCAGCCGAATGTCAAGCAGTTAACGCTAATCGAGAACTCGTCGAAGTTCATGGCAGTTTCCAGACCGAATAATCCTGCAGGAGTGGAAAATGTGCGAACCATGGCGATTCTCATTATGCGAAGTATTCCTGGTAAGGCAAAAAAGGAGGCAGAAGTCACGATGCTTTCAAAGCGTGAACTGTTTGCAATCCTTGCATGCACCAAATTTCTTGATAAGAACTGATACTTATTTGACATAAGAATTACATATTCTTAATAAATTATACAAGGTATTTCAGAGAAATGTCCAGTCTATTCTCCACCTATTTCTAAAACATCTGTGTGATTGTATCTCATATGTATATTATAGATGGTAAAACGATTTTCTCTCTGGAGTATCCCGTAAGAAGTAACACCGGTACACCTTTCCGGCAAGTAGTCATAACGTCGGACGACGCGTTTCTGGCGGTGCCAGCCGCTGACAAGGGCAATAGAGATTGCGTTATAATTTACAGTGCCAAGACAGGTGCACTGGTTAGCAAAATACCGATAAAGTTGCCGGGATTTAAGGTATTACTGGCTCGATTGCGCAATAGAGAAACAAACCGATTATTCTTTCAAAGTGCCTTGAATAAAATTCCATAATACTTTATAATGAAAATATAAATTCGACATGTAATTTGGACTATGAGAAATTAACTGTAAAAAATTCATGTCGACAGGATATTATATGTATCACTCCTATGTCCAACAAGCCGCAATGGGTGGGAATCATCGGCTCTGACAAGGGTACAATTCTTGATATCAATAAGAAAAAAGTTATACGTACAATCCCAAAATGGAGCGGAAATATTAGCAAGGATGGCAAATACACACTATACGCTCCCAGCAGGTATGAACGCTTCCAAAGATTGTATAGGATCGGCTCCATTTGTGGCCACTGTTCCATTTATGGCCACTTCAAGGAATCTTTCGAATTATTTAGTCTATGATTCATGTTCGCGTTACGTAAGTGGCAATATTTTGTTTTTACAGCATTTCTATTGGTTACGCTGCTCGATAACGAATGTAGAATTTTCTTTTTTTTTAACTAAATATTTATAACCAAACGAACTGCTGCATTTTCTTGTGCAACGTTAACGATACGAGATGAGATAAACGTTAAAATTATTATATAAAAGACATGATTGTGAGTGAATGTTTCTATAATCGGTTTACAGAAAGTCTAAAAATTAATCTCAATATGTGTAACTACGTATTTGATTCCTATTAAGCAAAAAATAATAGGTGTCGAAAACTAGATTATGTATTAATATAATACTCTATTTTTAGCCATAGGGCCAGAACTGGTTGTTGTGTTGTTCCAGTTATGGCTAACAAAAATAACGAAAGTCTTTTATGTAAAATTATAAAATTTGTGGCACTACAAAATCTATGCTCTGGTTTTTACTGGTCCTCACTATTGTGCTTTGAAAAATTATAAAAATATAGTACAGTTATTTGTCTGGAAACAAATATTATATATATATATATATATATATATATATATATATATATATATATAT